TCTTTTCTTCTGCAACATTCCCGCATCTACGATTTTTGCACTAAAATTTACCGCTTTTACAAATAATTCGAACAACTCTTCTCGTGGTCCTGCTCCGTCAAAACCCCTTTATTCATCTCTCATGAGAAGCTGATGCAATTGAAAGCAGTGGAAGTGTAGAATGCGCCAACCAATATCAATATTCGAAGGAACCATCAGCAGACCCACTATCTCGACTACTGTGGTCCCCTTTTTCGAGGCCTGCCCACGAGCAAGCTGATGACAGTAACAATCCCCTCCTATGTTGAATTAGCTTTCGAATATATTAAAAATTCTCGAAAATACGGCCCCAATCTCGGTTTCTTTCCCTACACTCGTTAGCGTTCCTATTCCAGCTGTCTGCGACTGAAATGCTCTATTCAACAAAATTTTCCACCTACTGCAATGTTTTCACATTTCACATGCCGCAACAAAATTTTTCACCTACTGCAATGTTTTTACATTTCACATGGCTAAATTTACAGCAGAGACCTTGTTCGAATAACTGGAACTTTTGCAACGCCAAACAAACAGATCTCTTTTTTTTTTAAATTTATTTTGTAATTCAATCACTGAACAAAAATGACAACAGTTGTGAACAGTGAGGACAAGCAGCAAAACTCTTTCTCATAAACGAATGGATTGAAAGGGAATTTCGGCAACGGACAAATTTGTACAAGAATTGAAATTTGAATTTTGTGGATGGGAAAAGTATAGAACAGATGGCCGGAGCAGGCCGAAGTCATTCGATGCAGAAAATTTTACTTATCCAACAAAATAAGCAAAAATTTTAAAAAATTGCTCTGCAATTCCCCGAACAAAAATCTTCCTGGTTTTCTCTACACTGACCATCGCAACACGATTAAGCAAAAAAAATAAAAAAAAAAATCGTTTTTTGTTTAAGTAAAAATCGTTTTTGAAACTAACAAAAAAGCATAAAGGTTTTTTCTTTGAGTAATATTCGACATGGAATTTTGTTTAATAAGTAAGGGAAATCAAAAAAAAAAAAAAAAAA